TTAATGCATCTGAAATGTATTACCACATTAAATTAAACACTTTAAAAATCAAAAATTAAGGATCTTTACGTTTTAAACAACGAAAGTTTAGGTAGTGACATAAACTTTGAATGAATATTTTAGTATGTAAGATTTAAATAATTATTGTTAGACATTTTAAGTGATTCAATAAACAAAAAAAGAAGAAGCAAAAAAAAATGGTGAGAATGAAAAATGAATGAAGAAACTTTGTGAATGAGAATAGGCTCAACCCCTGAGATAAAGTCTATAAAATTGTTAGAGAAAGGTAGGTGTTCGATAGTTGAATCTCCACAGATGCCCTCTAGGTATTACTGGGTGTTCCTCCTCTTGATTTGGAAGTGTTATGTCCGGCAACTACTTCTGGGCTAAGGAGGGGCTTGGCACTGTCGGAAGCTGATTGGCTGAGTGACATTAGTGTCGTGAACCTAAACAGGTCACAGATTGTTAGGTTATTGAATGAATGCGTGACATCGAGCTGGCAAGCTAGATGAAATGAAAGTGAACATGGAGGAGTGACTTATGAATTAATCCGGGATGTCAATTTCGTTAGGGATAGACCAGACTTTGGTTTCGGCTTGAGTCTTCGCTATCTCTTGACGGGTCACGGGTTCCTTAATGCATTTTCGCACGGAAGGACTTTAGTTGACACCTCGAGCTGTATTTGTGGGCATCACTTGGATGATTGGAGACATGTGCTCTGTGAGTGTCTGTTGTATGAGAATGTTAGAGATTTGGATGGAATGAGTGTTAGGCGAACAGCAGATGAATATGATGTTATTACTGTTCTTGCTAATGCTGAAAGTTTTAACAGACTGGATGCATTTGCAAGGACAGTATTTAACCGTCGTCGTGCCTTGATTGGTCAACTGAGGTAACATGTGTGAGTAGGTGTATTGTGTGTGAGGTGGCTGAACTCAGCTCTGTAGCTCCCCTGTGTGTTCCGTGTTTTCTGCTTGCTACCTGTCCTCGTGATCTACTTGTTGTCTGTTTTTGTTGTATGTTTGTTATCTGTGCCTGTGGTCTGCTTGTTGGCTGTTTATTGTCTGCTTGCAGTTTGCTCATTGTCTGCTATTGTCTGTTTGAACTCTTTGTTGTCCGTATGCACTTCTTTTTGTTGTCCGTCCGTTGTGGGCACCACCCCGATGCTGTTTGGAGCATCACTGATAATAAGAGAATTTTTCACTTACGACACTCGAATGGAGATGTGAATCTGGTACCACGAAGTTAAGGGCCCACAGCTCCTGCTGTCCTGACCATTGAGATTGGCTCCTTTAATGGAGTGTCGTGGTGACTGTGGTTAAAATCCAAATATACGCGGATAGAATGATTGCATTCATTATTCATTACTCTCATTTCATTCACTCTTCATTCATTCATTCACTCACTCATTCATCCATTTATTGTACTTTCATTCAATGTGAAGTTGCATTTTCCAACCGGGTGCTGTCCCCCACAGATCAGCAGAGGTGTTTAATAGGTCTCGCACCAACCGAGAGAGAAGTTATGTCCAAACATATAATTTCAACTAGTACCGGCGGAATTCCTTGGAGTTCCAATGGGGCGTTCATTGGCGCAATATACTGATGCATGTGATAAAAGCACCGTGATGTTAAGCCTTCACGGCAGGTAATCACGTTAAACAATTCTGGATTTCTGTCTCTATCTACTCAGTTCGCTTTGGACATTTGTTGCTTTATAAAAATTGCATATAAATTTGCTTTTGTATTGTAAGAAATTGAGTCAATTGTGTTGTACAGTATTCATATACGTGTGTGTCTGGTAATTTTTCATTGCCAGAAATATGTCGCGAATTCGTTATATTGTGTGCTTCATACAGAAAAGTATTTTTTGGGGTTTTTTGCATTTAATAAAATGCAAAGTAATACGTTACTTTTAGTTCTGGTAATTTTCCATTGCCAAAAAGACGTTACAAATTCATCATATTATTCGGTTTGTGTCGAGGCTTAAAAGGTCCTAGGTTTTGCTAGTACTTTTGTACAACAGTTTGAAAGGTATTATATTAATCTTACAATTTGAGAGTCACTAGGGACTTTCAAACTTTGTCCAGATCACCGATTTTCCAGAAACCTTCAAACTGTTTTGAAACAGTTTGACATACGTTAGATTTTACAGTAACTTTAAAACTGTTTTGTTTTTGTTTGAAATTTTCGACTTTTAATTGTCTTGTAGGAAATTTTTGATTTTAAGTATCTTGTAGGAAATTTTGAGAAATTTTTCAATTTTTAAGTATAAGAAATCAATTCACTATGAAGCGATTGACTATAAGTGGATTGAACTCGTGAGGTGACAGCTCGGAAATTGAGCTCCCGTCGGCAAGTGAAATAACCATGTCAGTTAAGAGAGATAAGGTGAAGAAAGCTAAGAAGGCAGATAAATTAAAGAAAACTGAAAGTCCACGTCGGGTGGTTTCCAGTGCGGAGTCATCAGACGATACGGTGATTAATATTAGAGTAGGGGTAAGCTCAAAATAAAAAGAAATGAAGAAGGTTACGAGTAGAATGAGTAGGGTTGTTCCCAGCGGACTGACTGAAGGCTCTATGAGCAAGAAAACAGCCGAGTTGGTAACAAACTATATGAATGCACACGACGCAATACTAGGATCCCTCTTAGCAGAAAAAACTAAGTTTGAGGGAAACCTAGAAGTTTTTGAAAGGTGTTTTGTTTCTGGTAGTATGCCCACCAATAAAGTAGGTTTAGTAGCTCAAAGTTACGGCTGTGTTGTTTTACTGTGTTGTATTACTGCAAGTAATAATGTTGTTTTCACAGTTGTGTCCAAACCAGTGCAAAAACCAAATAAGACGTGGTCATTGGTTGTCACGAGCAAGGATGCTAAGACATCATCTAAAGAAGTTGTTATTGAGGTAGTTAGGGAAGTTGGTCTCACTTTAAGAGTTAGAATTCATGGTGTCAAACCATTTAAAAATTGTGATGCCATAATACGGACTTCTTCGGTGGCTGAAAGGAAGAAGATAGCTGCTAGTACGAAGTTTGATGAAGTTGGGTTGGATGTTTCAGTTAGAGAAACTGTTGTAATACCAAATACCTATGTGCACATTACAACATCGCTAGCACAACAATTACTCGTTACTATAAATATGACAGCAGAGAAGTATACATACTGTCAATAAAGAAATGAAACCTAGCAACTGTAATAAGTCGCAGAATATATAGTGACAAAATATATAAACAATTCCAATAGGTTATGGTCCCAAAACGCTTTTACTGTGCCAAACAGACTTAGAAAGTGATTTGAAAACAAAAATTTGTGAAAAAATCAAATTAAAAGAAATAAAAGACATTTCATCAGAAGGGATCAGAAAATCGTAAGATCAAAGGGACCGTAAATTTTGTTAAAGTTGTAAAATAAAAACTATGAAAAATAAAAATGAGTTTCGCAAACATAAAAATTGATCCTCTTTGCCGAGATAATTATGACACGTGGAATATACAAGTTCAAGCTTCATTAAACAAAAACGACACGTGGAAGTATGTCAGTGGACAATGCGAAAAACCCACCACCGGCAACGCAACAATTGCCGAATCGGAACTAAATGACTTAAAAGCAAAAGCCGACTTGATTTTACTTATTTCAACCTCTGAATTGAAACAAATAAAGAATTGTGAAACATCAAAACAAATTTGGAGCAAGTTAGAAAATGTTTTTCATTTTAAGCGCCTGCAAGAAAAGCAACGTTGCTAAAGTCATAAATTTTGCTGAAAATGCACAACGATGAAGACATGCACGACCATGTTAAGAAATTTTTTGATATTTTAGACAAAATTCACGAAATGGATATGAAGATCAACGACAACTTAGTAACAATTCTATTACTGTACAGCGTGCCTGATGACTACGAACAGTTTAGAGTAGCAATAGAAACACAGGACAAATTATAATGAATGAAACACTAAAAATCAAAATGATCGATGAATTTGAAGCAAGAAAACACAACAGCAGTAAAACACGAGAAGACGCATTATTTGCGAAGAAAAGTAATAAAAATTGATAACAGCCCAACAGCTCAAAATAAAACTAAAAAATTTAAATACGCTTGCCATAAGTGTGACAAAATTGTGCACAAAATCAAGGAATGCAAATATAAAAACAAAAACAGAGCCACAACGAAATATGTGGAGCATAACAAATCAGTGAAAAAGGCAAATGATGTCTTGATTCAGGAGCTACGTCGCATATGTGCTCTTAGAAAAAAAAATTTCGTGAACTGAACACCAGAAAACAAGTTCTGAAACTTGCTAGCGATAAATCAACGAAAATTACTGGAACTGGAAACGTTATTTTAAAAACAAGTGTCGTAACTGCAAACCTAGGCGAAACATTATACGTTCCCGACCTGCGATCAAATCTAATGTCAGTGTCAAAGATTACTGATCATGGTTATGAAGTACTTTGTAACGTTCATAGACAATAAGAGTAAATGGTGCGAAATATATTTTATGAAACAAAAAAAAATGAAGTTTTTAAAAAATTCAAAGAATACAAAAGTATGGTGGAAAAACAAATCAAATCATATTCGAGAAACAGATGTCCAACGCGCAGCCTAAATGGTGAAATACCCTACCAATCATGGACAAAAAAGTGGGCGAATGTTAAATATTTTTAAAATTTTGGAACTATTGCTTATGCACTAAACAAAACGTCTGAAAGAGGAAAATTTGCACCAAAATCAACAAAATGTATTTTCATAAGTAACGAAGAATTGTCAAAGGCCTACAGATTGTGGAACATTACTGCCAGAGAGATTATCGGAAGTCGAGATGTTAGATTCACAAACAGATCCGACAACAGCCAACATTAATCAGACGTCTATGAAGGCAATATTTACAACGGTCAGACTTTTAGACTGAATACAAACTTAACGTATAACAAAGTAACAGACCAGAATAACATAAAAATACAAGAAACAGTCAAAGAAGAAGAAGGTTCTAAAGAAGAAGAAATGAAACAAGCAGAACTCCCAATAACAAACGAGAATTTAACTGAAACACCTGCTACAACTAAGCAAAAAAGGGGAAGGCCGCGCAAACTGTGTGAATCATTTGCAGAAGAATCATCTAAAAATAAAAATGAAATGAATGTAGAATACGAACACATCGCAAATCTGATTGAAGAAACGGATCCTAAATCAGCAAAAGAAGCTTTGTCGAGTCCAGAAAGCGAAGAATGGAAAAATACCATTTTGCAGAAATATTCAGCACTTGTGAAGAACAATACTTGGATCATAGTGGACCGTCCAAAGAACAAAGAAACCATCGATACAAGATGGTTCCTGCGGACAAAGCGAGATGCCGATGGTACAATAAACAAACGTAAAGCAAGACTAGTAGCGAAAGGTTTTACTCAGATATTCGGCACAAATTACAACAAAACTTTCGCACCAGTGGCACGCATGAGTTCCGTACGAATGTTTGTAGCATTATCTGTCAACTTGGGATGAAAATCCAACAATTGGATTTTGTCTGCGCTTATCTAAATGGCAAAATCAACGAAGAGATATACATTGAAATACCAGATGAATTCTATACTATTTTAAGTAATGAAGAGAAAGCGAAATACAAAGCAGGAAATGTATGCAAAGTACAGAAGGGCATTGTATGGCTTGAAACAATCAGGTCGACAATGGTATCAGAAGCTCGATGAAAAACTACGTGAAATAGGTTTACTAACATCAAATAGTGATTCATGGGTACATGTGAAGAATACACGTAAGATTTTTCTTATAGTCCTCTCATATATGTGGACGATCTTATGGTTGCATTCAACAACAAAATGGAAGTAAAAAGGTTGAAAGAAGAGCTTTCCAATTCAATTGATATGAATGACATTGGTCCATTGAAATATTATTTTGGGCTGGAATTTGAACAAAACTTAGAAGCAAACGATATCAAGATGTACCAGCGTAAGTACACGAATGAACTTATACGACGATTCCAAATGCAAGAAGCTAAGGTATTATCAACCCCTATGATCCCAAATGAAAAACTTACAAAGAGCATGAGTCCAACAACAAGTGCAGACGATGAAGAAATGAAAAGCGTTCCGTATCAGAACTTAATCGGGTCCCTAATGTACTTGGCTGTATGTAGCAGATCAGATATATCTCATGCCGTGAGTGCACTTAGCGAATTTAATTCAATGTTTGGGCGACAACAGTGAACCGCTGCTAAACGAATGTTAAAGCATATAAAAAGCACAGCAGAAAAACGGTTAATCTTCAAGAAACCGCCGCATGACCTCGTTGGCTACGTGGATGCTGATTAGGGATCTAATATAGACGACAGAAAGTCCTACACCGGCTAAGCATTCATATTTTGCAATGGTGCAATCAGTTGGGAGTCCAGAAAACAACAAACTATAGCTCTGTCACCCACCGAAACCGAGTATATGTCAATATCCGATGCTGCGAAAAAGGCAGTGTACTTAAATCGCCTTAAGTACACTACCTTTTTCGCAGCATCGGATATTGACAAGGCGATTTATAACAGAAATGCTTGACGTACAAAAACCTGTGATCATCTACAACGACAACCAGGGTGCAGACGAGCTCACCAGAAATCCCGTTTTCCATAATAGAACGAAGCACATAGACATTAGGCATCACTACGTAAGAGAACTGGTGAAACAGAACGAGATCAAGGTCAAGTTCATTCCAACGCAGGAAATGATGGCTGACGTACTGACCAAGGAACTACCTAAGCAGAATCACGAAGAATGTCTGAAGGGTTTGGGCATGCAGTAATTAATAAATTTAACTAACAAAAAAAACTAGATTGTAAAACGAGTGATTGTTAGCATTTTTTTGAAGCAAGTTTAATCGACATATTGTATGTGGTGTTGTGGAGGGTGCATGGGATTTGTTCAGTTCGTTTTGGACATTTGTTGCGAGTAGACGTGCTTGTGCGTTGTAATTTTGTGCTTTATAAAAATTGCTTATAAATTTGCTTTTGTATTCTAAGAAATTGAGTCAATTGTGTTGTACAGTATTCATATACGTGTGTGTGGTAATTTTCCATTGCCAGAAATACGTCGCGAATTCGTTATATTGTGTGCGTCATACAGACAAGTATTTTTTGGGGTTTTATGCATTTAATTAAAAGACGTTACTTTTAGTTCTAGTAATTTTCCATTGCCACAAAGACGTTTCAAATTCATAATATTATTCGGTTTGTGTCGAGGCTTAAAAGGTTCTAGGTTCTGCTAGTACTTTTGTACAACAGTCAACAATCAAACTGATCTCAAACAGTTTGACATACGTTGGATTTTACAGTAACTTTAAAACTGTTTTGTTTTTGTTTGAAATTTTCGACTTTTAATTGCCTTGTAGGAAATTTTTGATTTGAAGTGCCTTGTAGGAAATTTTTAGAAATTTTTCAATTTTTAAGTGTAGGAAATCACTATGAAGCGATTGACTATAAGTGGATTGAGCTCGTCAGATGACAGCTCGGAAATTGATGTCCCGTCAGCAAGTAAAATTGCCATGTCAGTCAAGAGAAGAAGGTGAAGGTGAAGGTGAAGAAAAGCTAAGAAGGCAGATAAATTAAAGAAAACTGAAAGTCCACGTCGGGTGGTTTCCAGAGCGGAGTCATCAGACGATACGGTGATTAATATTAGAGTAAGGGTAAGCCCAAAAAAAAAAGAAATAAAGAAGGTTACAAGTAGAATGAGTAGGGTTGTTCCCAGCGGACTGACTGAAGGCTCTATGAGCAAGAAAACAGCCGAGTTGGTAACAAACTGTATGAATAAATACGACGCAATACTAGGATCCCTCTTAGCAGAAAATACTAAGTTGAAGGGAAACCTAGAAGTTTTTGAAAAGTGTTTTGTTTCTGGTAGTATGCCCACCAATAAAGTAGGTTTAGTAGCTCAAAGTTACGGCTGTGTTGTTTTACTGTGTTGTATTACTGCAAGTAATAATGTTGTTTCCACAGTTGTGTCCAAACCAGTGCAAAAACCAAATAAGACGTGGTCATTGGTTGTCAGGAGCAAGGATGCTAAGACATCATCTAAAGAAGTTGTTATTGAGGTAGTTAGGGAAGTTGGTCTCACTTTAAGAGTTAGAATTTATGGTGTCAAGCCATTAAAAAATTGTGATGCCATAATGCGGACTCCTTCGGTGGCCGAAAGGAAGAAGATAGCTACTAGTACGAAGTTTGATGAAGTTGGGTTGGATGTTTCAGTTAGAGAAACTGCTGTTTTACCAAATATCCATGTGCACTTTAAAACATCGCTAGCACAATTACTCGTTACTATAAATATGACAGCAGAGAAGTATACATACTGTCAGTGAAGAAATAAAACCAACTGTAATAAGCCGCAGAATAGATACTGACAAAATATATAATAAATTCCAACTGAAACGTTGGGACCCAAAGTAGTAATTCAAGGACTTTATAGTCAGATCTCTCATGAAGAGTTTATGAAGAAGTTGTATGACATGAATTTTAAGGAAAGAATGTCACAGGAGGTATTTAAAAAGAAAGTTAAGTTAGTTAGCCGTCCTTGGGACACGAAGTCTGAGGGATCGCAGAATGTTGTGTTAAAAGATTGTATTGCAGCGATGAATACTCTCTTTTAGAGTGTGGTCGCTGCTATATAAAATGGTTCAGCTTCAAGGTGCGTTCTTTCAGTTATGGATTGTTATCGTTGTTATAATTTCGACCATAAAGTTTCTGAATATAGGCTCTCCTCAGAGCTATGCCGGGGCATAGGACACTAAACTGTGTAAATCCTTTGCGGCAGGTCAAGGATAAGGATAAGCCGGCAGGTCATCTGATGATTTTGGAGAACTGCCCGGTTTACGCCGGTATGATTGATAGGGCAAATGCTAGACAATAATGATGTTTACATTCGTCCAGCTAAAATGTGGTAGGTCGTACAGTTCAATGTGTGCAAGTTAAGATACGAAATTGTATCTTACATAAACGATTTTGTTTTTATTTTATATTTCTGTCACGAGCAGAAATAATTTCAATAATTGCAATAAATACGCAAGTTAAGATACGAAATTGTATTTTACATAAACGATTTTGTTTTTATTTTATATTTTCCGCCACGAGCAGAAATAATTTCAATGATTTCAATAAATACGCATTTTTTCCCTCAAAACTGCAAACTTCACCTGTCTGCAATTTGTAACGTGATCCGTTGCGAGCGTTCTCGCAATTTGACAATTATGCAAGATGTTTGAGTTAGTGGAAGTTCTGTGTAGTTTTAAGTAAATGTAAAACGGAAGTAAGCTTCAGTTGTAATTGGACATTAAATCAATAAAGCTGAGCTCTGCTCATGATAATAAAATTTTATTACTTGTTTTATTTAACTTAAATATTAATTGGCGCCCAACGTGGGGCCCGCGAGTTATGTACTATGATATAACTACTTCCGTTCATTTAAAAAAGTCTGTTACCAACAAATATTTGGTGACATACTTTTTATTTAAATTAATCATTTTTAATAAATTGCAAAATAAATTAAATGCATTTATTCTACAATTTATATTTCATAACACTTCCGCTTAAATTGTAATTCGAAACGCCGATATTTAATTTGCTTTCTTATAAGTTTTAAAAATGCAATATTGGCAATCGAAAGAAAGCGGCTAGCATTAAGAATAAGATTTAAAAAGTGTTCAGTAACTTATTATTAGTGAAATAAACAAGTTCGATCAAAAAATTAATTTTGATTTTTATTTAATTTATGTTTTTATAAAAAAAACATAATTGGCGCAGTCGACGGAAAAAAATTCAAAAGAATTTTTAAAAGAACTTAAACCAATTAAAAATATAAAATTCATAAGAATTTTTAAAAATAAGTGTATTCAAAAATAAGTATAAGAAAATAAGACTTCAGTGCATAAAGTGAACAATTATTCATTTAAAAGTTAATTTTCAATTTAAATAAACTTAAGCAAATAAATTAAAAGTGACATAAACTTCATGAAAAGAAATTTAATATTTGATAATAATAGAAAAGAATTAAAAATGGAATTTCAAACAAAAATAAATGAACTGGAAGAGGTTATCAGAAGACAAGAACAAATTATTCAAGGACATTTACAACAACAGCAATTACAGCAACAACAACCAATGTACGAAAACTTAATGTTGCTCAGTCCAAAAGACATCATTCAACAATTTCGGCAAATAAAACCATTTGGAAATGGACATAACCTATCTGCTTTCATAAAATCAGCAGAGGTAGTCATGGATCTATGTGGAAACAACAAAACGCTTTACGATTTTGGACTACAAATAATTATAAATGATAAAATAGTTGGAGAAGCAGGAATACATGTACGAGAACTTGGAGACGAAGTTACATGGCAGCAGATAAAGAAAAAATTAAAGGAACGGTTCAGACCTCGAGTATCTTATGGCGATATTTTCAACAGGTGCCGCAGTATTAAAGTAAGTAATTATTTAATTATTTTGAACAATGTAA